TAGCTGATTCAATAAAAAAGTATTACCCACAACAATTTTGAGTGATTTTTCAAGCAAATATTCCACATGTATCATAATGATCGCCAGTGTTGGGAGTAACGCATTACAAAAGTAATACATTACAGTAACATATTACTTTTTGCTGTAACGCAGTAGTGTAAGGCATTACTAATCAATTTTCAGTAATATTTTACTCGTTACATGTTCAGTGAGGCTTGTATTACAGTTGTATTACAGTGTATTGTCTGCTTTTACTTCTTAAAGGCAACAGACTATGTAAAAGTTTTAAAGCTGTCTTTTAGTGCCAGTTCAGAGCGGTCGCGTCTGTAACATTGTTTTTTCCTCATAAATGCGAACACGAAAACTAAAATAAAATGAATATTTTAAGTTCTATGGAGACTGCAGAGCCAACCCTTCCTCATCCGATTTGCGCAGTGTAATTAACAGAATTACAAAAAATATATTTTGCCTCCTATTTTTTTTTTTGTCACGCATGAATGTCTTTTCGCTAATATGAAAAAGACATATCTTCGACCGAAAACAGGAAGTAAATACAGGTATGTGAGCTGGCTGAATTAACATCATTTTTATTAATATCTTTCACATCTACTGCAGTCAGATTGACCGTAGTCACTCTTAAAAACACGACTCACGTGGCTGTGCATTTGTAATGACAAATCAAGGATGTTAAAAGGCTAAAAGCAGGTTTAGAACATGCCCCATTGGTGTCAACAGGGTGCGAATTTTAAAGGGATACTCCACTTTTTTGGAAATAGGCTGATTTTACCACTCCCCCAGAGTTAAATAGTTGGGTTTTTACCGTTTTCAAATCCATTCAGCCAATTTTCTGATATTTAGAAGAATATCAGTAACCATACAGTTTCTGGTCTCATTGACTTCCATAGCAGGAAAAAAAATATACTATGGAAGGCAATGAGACCAGAAACTGTCTGGTTACTGATATTCTTCTAAATATAAAAAAAAATCGGCTGAATGGATTAAAAAATGGTAAAACCCAACTTTTTAACTCTGGGGGAGTGGTAAAATGAGCCTATTTCCAAAAAAGTGGAGTATCCCTTTAAAAAGACGATAACACGGTGTAGGCAACACTGATTTTTGTCGTTTTGTCTGTTCTGACAGCACTTGAAAAAAAAAAATGAGCTCAATGTTAAAATTGACCGGAGTTTATCCATGTTAAATGAAACCTTATTGTAAAGTGTTACCGTATTATTGGTGAGCCTTGAGCCTTGGTGAGGAGGATAAGAGACTTCATTCAAAAACATAAAAAGAAAAAAAGATAATCATCATGTCATTGATCACTAAAACACAGTCCTAAATCTGACATCAGTCTGAATGTGCTGAAATGAATCCAGTAAAGACATATTCTGGTACACCAAAAAGACAATCAATACCGTTTATTTCACACTCCCCCAAAAAACGAACAGCCATTAAATCCATTACCGCCTGAGCAGACCTCAAAAGGATTCAGAAGTGTGTGAAGTGACAGGTTGCAATCTCTCATGTCCATACCCTACTCTATATTGAAGTTCTCAGAAGAACCTAACCAGAGCGTGAAACTGGTCCCAAAACGTACCCGCATCCCACCTCAATTCCAGAAAGTGTTTTACAGTACAACATGAACACAATAGGTGCGAAATATAACATTATTTTATCCACATACATTATTAAAGACACCTAATATAAAGTGATTCATGTTTGACCTTTTTAACTGTTTAACTCTTTTAGAATCTGATAACAAGTTCTTCTTTTGAATTCTCCCTTCTGTGAATTTACACTTTATTAGCGATAAAATGTGATTGAAAACAAAAGCTTCGCTGAGTGCCAACTGTTTCCTAACATGCCGATCTGCTCTATTAAGGCTGATTTATTACTGACATTACACACACATCTGCTCATGGCCACGCATTCACTCACACTCACGCTATAAGTGGCTCTTCTCTATGCGACAAATGGCCGCATCTCACCCAACGGATGTACAAACCGCAGAACGCTGTTAGAGACATCACTATCTGCTTGCTTTTCCGCTAAAGGAATTGATGTAGGATAAAGGATAATCCTCTCCAGCCCTCCTTAGGAATATCTCTTATCTTTGCTATAACACAACAGCATTAGGACTATCATGTGGGGATTACTCTTGAAAGGCAGAACTATCTCAGCATTTCAGTCGGACTGATCAAATCCAATCTAAGCCTCTCCATGAAATAGAGATTGTTTGGCGACTTTTTAGAGAGTAACAGAGTAACCTGCTGACTTTGTGAGCGCTCAACTTCAAATGAAACATTCATGAGGCTGTTATGTTATGGTCCGATGACTGTAATGAGTGATATCAACAGCTGATTAATTCCTGCGCTACGAGTGCACAGTGTGCCAGACTCATTAGCACACAGCGAGTGCTCTTCAGAACTCAAATAACCTTGAGAATCCATTGATTTCTTCTGACGGCATCTCACCTTTGGTACCGCGGGGATGTTGACGACAACACAAGGAAGATGTTTACTTACTCTGCCTTCCTGAGAACATTGAGTTATTGAAGTGGCATTTTAGAGAGGGCTACAGATTTTACAGTTATTGCGTATCTAAAGAGGACAAAGAACACATTGGTTTCAGACGTGTGAAACGGTCAAATTAAATCACCGTCATTCCGGGATTCGTGTTGGTGCATAAGTCTGTCTCGATCAATTTATCCATGTCTGCCAGTAAGTCCTATTAAAAAAAAAGACTTTTTTTCTTCTTTTTTTTTCCAAACAAGGCTCTTAAGCTAATATATGTACTTACTTTTTAAAGTAAAAACACTTTCTAATCTTTTTATTCATGTTGGTTTCACATGGATAAAATAATTGAATAATTCACTTTAATAAATACAATGTCATGAGGTGTAACCATCTAATTTTAATAATTAATAAAAGTCAAGCGTTGTTTTATTTATTTATTTATTTAATTAATTACACGTTATGGCGATTAATTAATTTAATTAATCGCAAATTAATTACACATCTAATCTAGCAGAGAAATTACCCCCGAAAGATAATTTAAAGTCATTGTTGTGTTGAATGAGAAAAGCATCAAATAAACATTACGAAAAGTAGATTTGGAAAAAAAAAATGATTTGATTCAATATAGAATTAATTACACATAATCTTTTAGACTTCAACAGCCATGAGGGTGAGTAAATGTTGACAGAATTTACATTTTTTGGGTGAACTAAACCTAATCTTTAAAAAAAAATAATAATATGGAAATTAATTCAATGATACTCTATATAAGAAAATAAAAATGACAGTAGGTTGCGGTAAATTATTATTATTTCCTGTTTTATGTTTTTCTTCATGTGTTAGTTGCACCACATGGCTTTGAATTGGTGGACAAAAGCTTTCCAAATATTATTAAGCAGGTTTTTCTTTTTATTATTATTACAGAAATTTGTAAACCTTTTGTAAATTGTCACCAATTTATTTGCACTTCCTTATTTGCAAAACCGATACGAGCCACTGCCTGAAACCACCCGGTTTAAATTTGACGTATCATGCTAGACCCTTAAACAAGTTTTGTTGTAGATTTGTAGTGTTTATAAGTACAGTTGAAGTAAAAGTTGAAATTATTCTCTTCAGATGCTTCGTCATATTCTGTTTTGGTCACATTTTGCAACCTGTTCCAATTTTTCTGTTCTCTACACAGTATTTGCAGCGGAACTGCCAAATAAGGACATTGACTACCGGCCCAACACTTCGAGTAATCCGCCATTTTTATTTCTCGCTCCGATTTTGTAGTCCAAGCTCAATGATGCAGAAGTTACGAGAGTGCAATTCAAAATATTCGGTTGTTGGATGTAGTGACCCACACGCTTCATTACACCGTCTCCCAGCACCAGAACCTCTTCGAAGAGCCTGGTTGAGTTTTTTTATCAAGGAAATGTACCCACATCTGTGGGTAAAGTCATGTTTTGTGTATGCGAAGCACTTCAATGATTCTAACTTCAACACCCTCCGCCAGTATAAAGAGGGGTTTGCCGATCGACTTCTATCTATGGAGACGACGAACAGAGCATTTCGATAAGCTGTAAATATCGTTAATAAAAATAAAGTACTTTACTTTCTTAAAACACATGGTGGTTATGGTTTAGCAGTACCTTTGTCTTTCTTTGTTTTTGTTTTGAAGTAACGTTACACGTCTGCAGTATTATTGTTCTTGAGTTTCATCAATAGTCATTTAGCTGCGTTGTTTTCTGATGCTTTTCTAAATGTATTATATTATCAATACAGATTTTTAGTGGTAAGATTAGACTGTAGTCACTTATCTTGTCAGTGTGCTTGTTTTAACAAGAGAAATAATCGACTATCACTTATAACACAATACAGTTGCAATGGATCCATATGAAGTCGTTGTTCTGCAGTTTCGTCGTCTTATTTTTCAACTCGCTGGCTCTGGCTCGAACATGTAAGGATTGATGGACAAATCTTCCCTTGGTGACATTTTGTTAACGCGCGAATAAAAATGTTCTGTGACGCTATATAATTGCACATCTCTACTCAAACTACAAAAATGGCAGAAAGGGGTGGAGTTGAACAGAGTGTAAACTCGGGCGGGGCAAAAACATCTTCTTTTTATTTAAAGAGGCCGCTCCAAAAGGAGTTGCTCACAGACGCACATCAGAAAAGGGGTAGAAAAGGGGCCTGTGGTGCTATAATAATGAGGAATTCAGACCCAAGCATTGCAGTTATGTTTTATATAGATCACAACGGTATGATTTATATGTAAAAAGGAACGATATGTACCCTTTAGTGTTTGGGATTGACAGCCGCATTTACTAACACATGTGTTTCGAAATGTCCCATTCACACAGGAATTTAGCCTCTCGAATACTGTCTATTTTCAAATCTATATTAACAGACAGCAGCTTTTATATCTGGGTGGAAAACGGAGCATTTGAGTCGCACATAGAGTGACAGGAGATACTCGAGTGGAGAACTCAAAACTCTCACCTGTCTTTGCCTGTCTCCTTTTTGAAAACCGTGTCGCAGTAATTCATGCGCTCTTCTGTGGTGACGTAGATGCGAGACTGTGGGTAGTTTTCCACCGCTTGCCGCAGCATGTTGTACACAATGCCCTTGCCATCCTGCCTCATGTTGCGCAAGGGGCCCCAGACCACATAGACGGTCTCGTTCCCCTGGCCGAAGAAGTGCTGGGGCTTCTGGATTAGCAGGGGAACACTGGTGTGAGACACCACTCTCAGGTCCGTCCTGCGGCCCACGTCCCTCTCAAAGCCCCGGCTGGGCGCGTTGTTCATTCTCCATATGCAGGAGGACTGGTCGATCTCAGTCCCTGCCTCACGCCCCAGCATCTGGCCAGAGCTGGACACGATACTGCAAACCTCACAGCGCAGCTTCAACGGCTAGAAGTAAAGAAGAGAAATGGGGTTAATTAGCATTAGAGGTTCATTTAAATCATGAATCGCAAGCTTACTAAATAATACAAAATAATGATATACATCCACTCTAAAAATATACATCCACTCGGGTAAAATATGGACAAACACAAACGTTGGGTCAAAAATGTCATTTAAAATGTTAACCCGATTACTGGGTTTGTCAATATTTGACCCAAATTTGGGTTGAAATAACTCAATTATATATTACTTGAATTTGAATGTTTTCGAATTTGCTTGTATTAAAGCATGATTTAACATACAATTCACTTGTACATTCGGAGAATCTTTTTAAAACTTATTAAAAAAAAAATCAAATAGACAGTAAACTTGAAGTGGTACAACATTACTGTAAAACAAGGAAAAGCAAAAGTAACAACAATACAAAAACAAACCATATGTCTTTTTTAACATTAAAAATGTTGGTAACACTACAATAATAGTACCTGAATAATCATACTAGTACCTGAATTAATAATTACTTTACTATGAACTAATGATGAGTTAAGATATGTACTAATGAGGAACTAACCTTAACTACACAGCAACGTCGGCCCAGATCTGGCCCACATCTGGGCCGTGTGGAATCCATGTGTACCAGATGTGGCCCGGATCTGGGCCAACTTATGTTGCTGTCTAGGAGGAATTCCTGCATGAATATACTTAACTACACATCAGTACATGCTTGTTAATTAATGCATTAATTAATATTTCGGGGTAAACTAAATGAAACATGTTATAGATCAGAAGAAAGATATACTAAAATGGCACAATGTAAAATTGTTCATAAATTTGCCTCCAGCAACTGTCACAAACATCAGCGAATGACACTTGATGTCTTGCAATTTAACCTTACTCAAATGCACCAACACACAATTATGCATTTATCATTAAAAACAATTTAATCTCATTCCGTTTTAAGTGATTCCACTGCTGCCATCAAGAGTGAAATACCTAACATAACCATTAACAGATTCATTAACGGAACAATTTTCAAAATTAAAATTACTGTTGATGGTTATTTCTGTGGTTAATTTATGGATATGTGTACTGTCTTTATATCGTTATATCATAATGCAGTTGGATGTGTTAGTTAGTTAGGCTTCTTGCTCAAGTTTGATTTATATTAGTTTACCCCAAAATGTTAATTAATACATTAATTAACAAACATATACTAATGTGTAGTTAAGATGGCATATTCATGAAGGAATTCCTATGACTCAAGGTTAGTTCCTCATTAGTACATGTCTTAACTCATCATTAGTTCAGGTATTAGTATGATTATCATGTAAAGTGTTACCCAAATGTCTGTACAGTAAGTTTGATCATTTAGATTTGATTTATATAAAATTCACAAAAGGGTCCCCAGACTACATAGACCACATTATGTAAATTATTCATGTTTTGTCAGAAAATAGCTTGAAAAACAGAAAGGTCTCACAACAAAACACAGCTAGCCATTATAAGGCTTTTAAAAAAAGAGTAAAGAGTACAAAAGGGTTTTTTCAGCAATAATGAAATATAACTTCCCATTGAATTGTTCACCTAAATCTCTGTCTTACAATCTATTGAGTGGCTCTGTGGATAGACGACGTTGAGGTGATGCAGTGTGTTTTCAAGTGCAGTCAAGTGTGGCATTATTGTGAATGTCGCAGCTATATTCGGTTCTTGTTAGTGTCATCCATATCATACTGGATGAGCATCCATTTTGTGGTGGAAAGATCCACCACTTTTTTTCTTTTCTTTTTGAGAATCCACTTTAATGGCTCACAAATAGTCAGGTGGTTCAAATCTTTCTGGAAAAACAAGAAATGATTCCACTGAAGGTAATTTTGATGAGAACCCATTTGCAGTTTATTCACAAAAACGTTAACAAATACAAAAATAAACAAAGACGTGACTTGGCGATAAACATGAACAAACCATGAAGCTAACCACACCAACAGCAGTAACAGGGAAAAAAGCTGGACAAAAGAACAATAGTGACATGACATGGACAGAGAAACATGAACCAAACAACCAATGAGAAGCACATGACAGGGTCACAGAAGGAGCAAAGGAAACACATGATAAAAACAGGAACATAACAATGGGGAAAAGACATAAAAACATGGACATTAAACAAAACCACGACCAATTGTGATACACTATATGTTGGAGTGATGCAGTGACCATCTATGAAGCAGCATACTGAACGACAGTAAAGCAAACAGCATGTGATAAATAAAAATCCACTTTTGATTAGAGTGATGCTTAGCCTGAAAAGTTTGAGAAGCACAGTAAAAATAATATCTGCTTAACAAAATAGTTAAATATACAACAAATTTGGTCCCACTTTATATTAAGTGGCTTTAAGTACCATGTACTTACATTGAAATACAATGGACTTAATAATTTTATACAATGGACTTATTGTGTACATACATGTTTTTACATTGTACTTATATTTAAAAAATACCAGCATGTAGTTACAGCCGTAACTAATTTATGTAATTACATTTGTAATTACACAGCTGACCCATCCCTTACACTTAAACCTACCCTAAAGGCCCGTACACACCGGGACGAATATCAGCGCGCGTTATTCGTCAGCGTTTTTCAACGCGTTTTTTGTGTTCACACCAAAGCGTTTTTCGCTGACGATAAGCCGAATGAACATGCAAATTCATTCCCTGACATTAGATGGCGCTTAATGTAAAACAGAAATAATAATAGAATACTATACTAGGGTAATCATATTCATGTCTCAATGTTTTATTATGACAGATACAAAAAAAAAACGAATGAAATAATGATATTAGATATTAGTCTTCTGTATTAGAAAAATATATAGGCCTAAATAATAAATAACTAAAACAAATGCCTCCAAATGTAACAAAAAATAGCTCTCACAAACTTACAAAAACAAACTAACAAAATCTATTTATAGCTTTAGTTTTCATTCTCTTTATCTCATTTTTCTTCCTCGTCCACCTTGTTTGCCCATCTATATTTTGCTGTAGAACTGATCTTTCCCAGCAGTTTTTGTTTGAAAACCAGGACATTTTCATCACTTAAAAACAGTCAGGACGGGACGTGGAAACAGGACATGTGTAACGCAAAGTTGAGATGTTGCCCAGAGATGCAAACATAGCACTAGTTGTCGGATGAACAGATGCACGAGAGACGAGAGTTGTCGTATTTCCCCGCGTTTAATAAAACCACTCAAACGTCACACTTGTCCTCCTCATACACGGGGATCGAGCGAGAGAAAACAAACAAACAAACATCTGGTCACAATAGAAAAATAAAATAAAAGAAATAATTCTCTCCTCTCCTCACTTGTCAAAATCTAACTGACATTACGCACACTATGCGCAGTTCTCATCTCAACTCAGATTTCTATAAAGCACAAACATGTCCCGGGAAAACAGGACTGTTGGTCACCCTATACTATACTATTATTACAGAAATACTAATATAAATATTATCTTATAGCTCTTTGTGCTCCGAGACCAGCAGCTCAACATTCATCTTGCCCATAGGTATCTTATCTCTTCTTCGCCGTATGTGTGCTCGGCAAGACCGTTTTGTGTTTGAGCGCCCTCAAGTTGTGTTTTACTGTAACTTCAGAAGTACCAGACACGTGAGCAAACCCGCCGATCTCGTTGGTCGGATAGGTTTTGACGCGGCGCGTCAAACAAAAAAAACGAACCCGAGGCGTTTTTTTAAAAATGACGCTTTTACGCGTGGCGTTTTTGCACTCACATTGGCGCCCATTGTTTAGTCACGAGGCGTTAAACGTCGACGAATAACGCGCGCGAAAATCGTCCCGGTGTGAACAGGCCTTTAAACCTACCCATACCACCACACCTGTCCCTAACCTTACCCGTATCCCACCTCAATAGCAGCAAAAGTGATTTACAATACAACATGAGCACAATAAGTACATTGTACTTATTTTTAAATGTAAGTGCATAGTACTTAAAGCCACTTAATATAAAGTGGGACCAAAAATTTGAAAAAGTGTGAAATGCATATGTATGTTTAAATTTGACAGCAGCTGGATGTTGTTACGTGTCTGTCCTGTGTTTTCCCCGTTCTTTGTGTATTTGGTTCAGTCCTGTTTCCATTTTCACGCTGTGTTAACTTACTGTTTATTTAATTTACCTGTTTACCTGTCATCGCCAGTTCATTTGCCCCAGCTGTGTCTTGTTTCCCTGATCTGTTCCCAATGTATTTAATTACGGTGTTTCAGTCTGTTCCTTGTCTGTCTTTGTATATCCTCTATCCTGTATAAGATTATTCTAGTTTGTTTAATAAAACTGCTGCATTTAGATCCTGCTTTCTTGCTTGCTTCAACCACCCAGCCCATGACAGATGTAACCGATCAGCAAGTCAGTGAAGAGCTGAAAACGAAGACGTGAAGTCGGACACTTGCTGCTTTCCGTAGTAACGCGAACTGTGTTTGCATAATTTATCACAGCTGAAGTGAAATAAATACAATATGTCAAATTCAAATACTTTGAAGACATTTTCATTCAAAACTTTAAGTACTGCTTAATACAGCGTGTGTTTGTACAACATACTGTACGTAAGCCTATACTTATTTAAATACCAATGTAGCGAGGACTACGGGTTTTTTTTTTTTGATCAGTTTCATATCGACCGAATATAGCCTCACGACCACATTAAAAGAGCTTACTGTTATAAAAATTCAGATTTGTGAGCATTAGTGGAACTGCAGGTTTCAGAATTGTGCAGCGCTTTACTTTGATGCCATTCATCACAGTGACGTAGGCAAAATTTTGAACCGGCATCCACTGCTTCAAGTCAAACAAGCCTTTTGACAAGAGACTTAAACATTTACTAACCAGCAGTGTAATGACTAATCATCAACACCATGGCATTAAATCCATCACCCTGGTCTTTCTATTTATCCACCTAGAATACCGAAGGGATGCTGAGTGCCATGAGATTGCCCTAAC